TCGTACAAAGTTAACAAGGGCGAGGAAACTTCTTATTTTCCTCGACGATTTTTTCATTGACGTCTCGAATTGATAATAACAAAAATATCCGATGATGATAAAGATTTCCAAATTATTTCTCTGTAGACCATTATTGAAAATTGTTTTTTTTTTCTTTGACTAATCTACGTTGAAGTAGTAGTCAATAGTATTTTCTTATCGTTTCTTAATTTTTATGGATTTGAGAAGAATGATTTTTAGAAAATTATTTATGTGTACAAACGATTAGTTGATCAGTTTTCATTGGTTCATTTAAAAATATTGTGATGATTTTTTTTTTTTGAATTTTGATAAAATGCAACCTTCTCATGTGTTGTAAATAGCATTAATTATTTTTTTTTTTACATTGGAACTAACAATTAAGGAATTATATGCAACGGACTCTGCGTGTCATGTTATTTGCTATGACTTTGTCTATAATGGATTCATTTCGAAGAGTACGTATGAATGTGGTATTGATAATGATCGAGAATTAATTTGTATAATCGTTAAGAGAATTATGTACAAGGTATAACAACATTGTAATATTATGATATCTCACATGTAATCGTTTCAATGCATAGAAATATTAGTGATTGTACTATAATATGAAAAGAATATTAATTTTATATGGAATATAGTAAGAAAAATAATTTCTCTCGTGATAAACTGAAAACAGAAAACGTTTTCAGGTGCAACAAAAAAGACTTGTGCGATTCGTTATCACAACTGCGACTAATCAATACGTTTTGTTTAATTTTCGCAACAACGTAATCGAAATAAAACAACATTATGTCTTTTAATCTGCCAACTTCGTATATTCCTTATCATGATTGTCGTATTGCTGGTCTCTTGAAGGGGAATCAACTCCGTCACAATTTGAGACAGACAGATCAATAAAATTGGAATGGGATAAAATTTTCATGGTTGACGAAATTGCTACTTTTTTTTATATTCCTATAGATAATTATGAGAGAGTATGTGTTATCGTTGACGCAAATCGTTATTAATGATATAAAACAATAATCATGGTTTATACCGTTTTATGTATAATAATATTTTGTATTTGGATAATGAATGATGAATTTCTTGATTTATAAAACTTATATGATAAATAATGTCTTTACGATAAACTTATATGATAAATAATGTCACATACAGTATATGAATATGTAATATAAATATAGTAATAGATATACGTATTTATGATAAATATATTCGTATTAAATGTTCTATTTTGTACGTTAACAAACGATAAGAATGTTATCGTAGTTGGTTGATTACACTCGAGCAGAAAAAATAAAAGTGTAACTCGTATCTACGTACAAACGCAGTCTTTTAATTACAAAGAATGAATTTTCATGAACTCAAAAATATTATAGTTAATATTTTAGTATATAAGAATAATATTATAGTATATAACAATTCGTTCATTGTACGACGATTCATAACGAGCGATAAAATTGCGACGAGGAGAGTAGATTGAATTTTAAAGTTAGGTGCAAAACGTCACGTTCGTGATGTTTTTATCGCTTCGATTTGGCTCGTACTTGACTCGAGCAGTAAGTGGGAAGCATAGGTTGGACAGTGAGCGCGAACGAGTACGGCTTCAGTTTGCGCCGAGTCCTCAACATGGTAGCTGTGCTCTTTTGATGCGTTCTTGCAATAGAAAGGAGCCTTTTCCTTTTTATTACTTACTAAGCGCGTCTTTACTCCGCGTTTTCATGTTTTCGGATTTCTCTTTATTATCAATGTACAGAAGAGGAACAAGAACCGATTAAGATAATAAAGTAGCAGATTCAGTGATTTATAAAGAAATAATTAAACAGTGTATACAGTGTATAAAGTTATTTCTACAATTTCTTCTTTCATCACCATACTGCCACGACCAAACGTTATTTTCAGTCCAGGTAACCATGAACGACATTTTAGTTTTTTCTCCTTGTCTTTCCCATTTTCTCTCTCTCTCTCTCTCTCTCTCTCTCTATCTCTCTTTCTCTCTTTTTCTCTCTTTTTCTCTCTTTCTCTCTCTTTCTCTCTTTCTTATATCCTTAATATACTTTTATTTACATTTGGCCAACATTGCTATAGACATAATAATAAAATATTTACTTAATTTATCTCTTTTCTTTTTTACTTTGTTCTCTTTCTCTTTTCTCCTTTTACCTGATATGACCCTGACGACGATTCGGCTTAACCTTTACGCCAAATTTACGATGATTCTTTTTTATTGCTATTTATTCTGACAAATTCGAAAAGGTGAAGAACTCGAGTGAAGTCAATTACAATGAGGCCGTCCTGTCGTCTTTAACTCTCGGTTAGAGGCCTCTTGCACGTATCTTAACGGAAATTTACTTCGCACCGCCTACTTTCGAAACAAGATACAGATCTATCGCTCGTCGATCACGAAATTTATCATATCCGAGCGTTCATTATATGCAATATTAAAAAATTATCAGGCTGACTTTGGATCACTTATCGTTACCTTATTTTTTCCTTATAAGGTAATTACAGAGAATTTAATGAAGTTATATTTTTAATATCTAATTCTTCTATAATTTTAGATTTGTTATAATTAAATTTTTCTTTTAATTACAAAAACTTCTATTTTTTTTTAGAAAAATTAGAAAGGATATTCGATTTACATGTAATAAATAAATAGAAAAAATAAAATAAATAGAAAATTATATATTGAAGATAATATAAATTGTGAAAAATTAAAAATTTCCTCGTAAGGTATTTTTAAACTTGGCAAACTCGTATGGTAAAAATTGAAAGTAATAATTAATCGAAAACTTAAATTTCGGATATTCTCATACATTACATTTGAATTGATGTAAATTATGACCTTTCAATATTTCGCCTCTCTACACAACATACGTGATGTACTCTTTTATTTTTTTTCTCCTTTGCTGATGTTTCCTGAACTTCGTTGATGTAAGAAAACGATAAATATGTACTTCAATTAATTGCTTTAGCAGAAAAGCGTTTGAAGGAAAAACAAACGATAAGAAAACCTTATTATTTTCTTCATACATTTTCTTGTCGATGATTTTTCTGTTGAATTTACAAGTCATCGCTAGGAATACCCATACAAATTACCGGTGCTGGACTTATGGTATTGACGTAACGGCATAACATATTTCTGTCGTTTATCTTCTTCGATCTGAATCATCGATGGTCTTTTTATAAGAAGCGTTATGCCTTTCTTTCAAATTCATTGATTATTTAATATGCCGTTATACGAATCAGAAAAGTTTTCAGTTAACTTTCAAATGTATCCTCCCATAAGACAATTATGAGTGATCAACAATCGTGTTGATAAACACATATAGAAGTTATTATTTGTCACGTCGTTCCTACATTTAATTTATTCACGATTCGTATACATAAATTCAGACGTATATTAGATGTTTTGATGGTCATGCTATAAGATAAATAAATGAAGATAGTTCGTTAAAGTCCGCGAATATTTATTGATCACATTCTAACGATCATCATTTTATTACTGTAACAATCTTGAATTTTAATCATAATGCAAAAATTTTCTAAATTAGAAATTATATTCTTTGGAAGATGTTTTTCTAGAAAGCATACGAGTCATGGACTAACTCTTTCGAAGAAGTTGAGTCACCAATTCATTAACAAGTCATTACTATTATTAAAATCGAAAAACGGAAAGTTGCCTACTTCCAATATCTACTAATAAGCACTACTAATAAGTAGTATACCTACTAATAAGCACTTTTCAATAGTTGGATTTTTACAAAAAAAGAAAGAAAAAGAGAGATAAGCTCCTCCTATTACAGTTAAATAATTTCGAAAAAGTAACTTACGTATATTTTTTCTCACAGTATGATGATAAAGAGACAATGCCGATCTTAAGAGTGAGTTTGGTAAATTTAACAGGATTACTCTATACTTAGTAACACGGACGTAAAAGGCTATTCACTATTTCGTAATTCCTGCACGAACGAGGCATGCGATAGCGGTATCATGTCATATAGGTCACTAGTGAGATAAATAACTTAACACTATAGAAATATTTCGTGAGAGTGAATTGAAAATGTGAAAAAGAGGTTCTATTGTTGTCATATTGTTTAGAGAGAAAAAAGACAGAAACAGAGAGAGAGAGAGAGAGAGAGAGAGAGAGAGAGAGAGAGAGAGAAGAGAGAGAAAAGGGTAGAACATGAAAGAAACGAATATGTATAAAAAAAGGTGCTGCATACGACTCATTCGTATTAATTATATAAAATAATTATTGTATGTAATTGATACAAATAGTTTGCAAGGGATAGTTCGATTTTATCATTTTTCAATAGTTACTTGCTTATATTACTTACTCATTGAAAAAATAAAAAAGGAAGGAAAAAATATAAAAATAAATAGAATAAAGTAAATGCATGATCACTTTCGCTTTTTTGTTCTTCTAAATACATCGTAATAATATGCTTGATAGAAACTTCAACGAAGTTACTTATTATCTGTTCTCGTGATAAAAGAGTCGATGAGATTACGTTTGCGGAAGTTTTAAGAACCTTGCGAATGGTAGATATCTTTCGATATACGATATTCAATCTGTACTCTAAACTTTTCTATAAATCTTTACTTTGATCATCATTAAGACACCGAATGTGTTTTGCAAGTTGTGAAATCGAGTAGGAAAAGCTGACGATTATTTTTACGTTTCCATGACGGCCATATCGTGTCAGGAATAGCGTATTTGATATATTACATTGTATTCTTCTCACTTTAACTTTGATCCTCCGAAGGTCGATACTGATAATGATGTATAAATTAAGGCGGTGTCCGACATGACGAGTTACTACTTTTAGACTTATCAAGATAACTATCCCCACTTTCGATATCGCTTAGATCTTTTCGTTAGCAAAGATAAATACTTAACAGTGTTCTCAATCTTTCTTCACATACTAGATTCTAATTAAAACACTGGTGGTCTTTAGATAAACGATTCTATTTGAACGTAAATTAAAATTATTCTCCTTTCTTCATTCATTGAGTTTGCGATAAATAAAATTCTAATTTATTTTTTTATAGTAGAAGGAAATATGGTCTTCTCTTATATAGGGATATCTAAAAAAAGTAATCTGGTATTAGATCTTAAAGAAAAATGTAATTAACGCAAATGGTAGCGTAAGTAATAGATAGAAAATGCAACGTAATACATGAATCTTACAATGTCAGAGTTTTATCGTTGGCTGTACAGCAATATTATGTCAAGGGTCAAAAGGTTAATACAAAAACGATGTTGTTTTCTTTGAAACGTCGTGGTTTTCTTAAGGTTTCGTTGCGGTTTGATTATAATCTAAACTTTTAAATCTATGATAGAATTGAAAGAAAAATTAGAAAATCTTATCGTGTCGGTCGATGAATCATAAAATCGATCCAAAAATCGAAACTTGGAAATGGAAAAAAAAGAAAGAGAAAAAAACGAGCGTTGTTCGCTCTTTTACATACACAACTATAACTACATGTATTCATAACGTAGAATGCGATAATCCTTTATGATATCAATAGCATACATCTTTAACAGTTTCAACGATCATTAGATATTTACACGTTTCTCTCTTTTTTTTTCTTTTTCAAGGAAAAATGAGTTAGATCGATAAACTTGAAAGTATACGAATGGAACATTGTGAACGTTGCTTTATGTTATTAGCGTGCACGCCGAATTCGTTGCATGGCAATGTAGTGCAATTATCTTCGCACGCACGGTGGATTTGTTTAAGCAGTGATATTCTTAGATTTCAATGTATCGCTTTATATCTTATACTATTCTCTCTATTTCTTTTGCCTGTTATGCAAAATATGAAATGAATAGAATACTATAAAAGAGATATGTGTAAAATAAAATAAGAACTATGTAGAAATTATTTTTGATGATTATGTGATTTAACTCAATACGTTTAAAAAATTCACGATTTATCTTTTGAGTTCGTCATATGTTTTTTAAATGAAATGATCGAAGTTACGGCTCTTCTTCGCATATAAAGTTTCTAAGGTTCTTTGCTTTTCTTACATCGCCGGCAGCTGCTCTTTGACGTTAAGGTGCGAAAGGAGGTGAAGGTTGGTAGCGTGTCACGCGTACAGTAACCGTGTAACACTTGCACTGTTGTCGTTCATGCAACGAGTATGAGAGTTCTCGTTTGAAAAGTACTACCAGGGAAATCGACGAACGATACGACGTATAAAAGACACGCACGTCTATATTATAAATATAGTGATAATACCCGGCATAGAGTCATGTGACTATCGTCGGTCGCTCAATAAAATATAAAACAAAGAAGGTAAAGGAAAAGGAAGAAAGAAAGAAACAAAAATAGCATAAGTATGACACGATCGAATCTTTGTAGATACTACAGTGGTCGAATATTAACTATAACTCTACTGTTGTAAGCTATAAAGCGTAAGTATTTTTCAGTTTTCCTTACACGTCAATGTCTAACGAGTATATAACACGATCAGCAATTTAACATAATCGGATGCTTAATTTTAAAAGAGAGTTACAGTAAATAGAAAATTGATTGATTTTTCGATAAAATTATTATCAAATCATTTACTAGTCTAATTTGTAATTAGGAGTTTCCAAGTAAGTAAGTTGATCGATCTCCTTTCTCATTTGTCGTTTAGGATTTATAAACGTCTAATTATTATATCTCAAGAGAGACGAAGAGACGTAGATACACGGATAATATAAAATAACGTTGTTCGATTTATGAAAATCAATCGTACCATCAGATCATACCATTTTGAAAATTACTTTTCTATTTCCGTAAAAGCTATTTGCGTACGAGTCTAAGCGCTCTCGCTTCTCACGATGTCACGTTTCTATCGTTCGACACGTGAGTCGTAATGTGAACGAACGGATCTTCTTGAGAATATGAAACATTGAGTAGAACGTCTCGTAAGTTTTTTAATTCAATATCTTGAGCGAAGTATAAGTATATCTTTGTTCTTTTGTCTTTGATTTCATAAAAGAAATACTCATTACATCTAATTTCGACAAGCTGTTATAAATATACATTGTTATTAAGCGATAAATTTTTTTTTATCAACATATTAATCAGGAAAATATGTCGATCAATAATCTGACGATTATATAACAATGATAAGGGGAATTTGCGTTTATTTTAGCTTTTTACAAATATAAATGGAAATATATGGTTTTTGTACGATGTATTCGTCAAACTGTTTGTTTTCTAATATTTCCAATTCGCTAAATTACACTGGAAATTTCATACATATTCCTTATATCATTTTATCTGTTTATCATTTTAACTGTCCCTGTAAATATTAAAGCAATTAATATTTTATTTTACCCAAAGTACTTTGAAATGCTTGCTGTTAGGTTCCAACGAATGCTTATTGCTGCGAAATTTGAAATATAAACATTCGTGGTAGCCCAAGGCTTGAGCGAGTTCCGAGCTAAGTCGTAACACTCTCCCTTGAACCATCAACTGGACCAGTACACAGAATCCGTCGTCATACGAGTTCATAAGAAAATTCATTCCTGTTGGAACTAACGATTTTGAAATTATTATTAAATACAAAATATGGACATATATGTGATGAACAAGGCTATAAATGATCTTTTTTTAACTATTATTGATTGTTTTAAGATTTAAGAATCTTACAACGTATATATTATTGTCCAAGTTAGTCAAAATGTAGTAGAACTGTAAAATTTAATTTAGTCTTCAATTATTTACTATATATTTATATTATACTTTTGACTAAATACTTGCTATTGTTTTATTATTTATAAACAATTTAATTATTACTTGTATATTTCCCATTTTAGTTATCTTAGTAAACAATTTCTAAATGATCATGATATTTGAGGTAATTCGCTAACATACGTAGCATATTTAGGATGTTGTATGAGCAAGTCGGATTATTTTACCGATAAAGCGTTACAGCTATATACGTCGAGGTGGTGACCATTAGTTTACATTAACGTCATGAATGCGTGAGCTATTTCTATAACGGTATAGAATGGTATAGAAGCGTAGAAAATAACCGGACTTCGAAGATTTCTTATATGATCATAAGGTTCACCATGAATAAAAGAATCTTGCTTTTTTGAAATAATAACAAATAAAATACTAATGAAATTTTTGATGAATAATCATAAAAAAGTTACATAAATGTCCAAATAAGTATTAGTGCAAATCGAATTGTATTAAGTCGGAACATCTAAAATCAAAAATATGAGTACAAACGTTACGACGTGACAATTTCTAATTTTTTCTCTGGTCGATGCTTTAATATATACGAGGAAATTTTATTTATACCTTACGCATGTAAGTACGTATATGATCCAGGAAACTCCAGTTTTCTTAAAGTATATTATTTTACAATTTTTTTACGCAAATCATATTGACATAGCATCTCGGAAGAATCTAATCAAACTAAGATATCTGAAAAAAGAATTTTGAAATAAATAACAAGAAACGAAGCGGTAAAAGTGCAAACTGCTATAACCCTGCCAACCATTCGAATGTAAAGCAACTTCCTTCTTTTTTTCAAGTCATGCTATTATTTACAATTTAAACGAATCATCAAATATACCAGTTATCTGTAAATTAAAGAAATCGTAAATTGTATTTTAATAGCGAATAAATGCTGAATAAACAAAAATAAAAAAAATGCAATTTGAAGATTCTCAATATTATCAATTATCTCTTGATATCAGATTGAAGATCTCTAATGATGACGTTCGGTAGAGAACAAGAATTAAATTGACGAGAAAATATAATCTTTCGTTTATTCACTCGAATACCTGCGCTAGTCAATTAACTATTCCGTTCATACCAAGGAGGATCATTGACCGGTTTGAGCTACCTCGACTGAAATAACGGATCAAAGAGATGAGAGAAATAATGTCCATCTGAGACGACTCGCTTTACCACTAACGATAAGAGCACGTTTTCACTGATACGCACGGATATCAGTAATATCTCGCGCGCGGAACTTGCTCGACACTCATGGAACTCTTACGTAATAAACTACGACGACCTTTTGTCAATGATTAAAGTCTTCCCGCAATTTCGTTAGATCGATATTTTTGTGAAATTTTATAAAGGAATGTAAAAGGAAACAAATCATAATATTCAAGTCAATTTATTATCAAATACATCGGCTAGCTCACTAAGAATATTTGAATACGTTAAATAAAACAATTGGAAGAGTATTCGCACATACATACGTACGCATTGATTAAATAAAATGCCTGATATCATATCTAGTCGGTTTCACCTTGAACGCTATTTGCCATGAAATGTGCATGCTCTTAGAAAAGATCTATCGAATATTAAAAAGAAAAAATAACGATAAAGCGTAAATAAGACGTATGGCTTCTTGCAATTATTAATTGAAAAAATATGTTTTCCATTTACCAAGCTGGAGCGTTTGAGGATTAGTTATGTGACACGTGTTGAATCTCGTATCTCGTTGAAATGGCATACATGTCACCAGTCTCGCGCGTTCTCTGTCTTTTCGTTTTCTGCAATCGCAAAAATACTAATTGATTTTCTTCGAGTATTATATACTCGACTCTCCTCTTTCGCGTTGCGATTTCGAAAGTAACTGCATTATTTTTGCTCTCGCTATCATTTCGCCAGTCATTCTGCAAACGTGTAAGAAGAATAGTTTTATGACAGATGAACACGTGCCGACTTGGGGACTTTACTCGTTCAAACTCGTTCTCGTGGAACTTGATAAAGATTTGAAAATACGCCTTATCTTTATGGTTTCTGTACCGTGTGAGAGAATCGCGAGTCTACCTTATTCGCAAAATAGCGTAATGCTTATTTTATTTCAATTATATTATCTTATATATACACACATGGTTGCGCGTGCGTCACTTCACTTCGCGGTCCGTAAAGAACCAAGCAATACAGTGATCTAGTGGTTTTCGATATACTGAGTCATGGATATCATCAATGGTATTATTTGTTTCTATTTATATGAGTAATGTGGATCTTCGTAGATATTCGTTAAACATTCGTGAATTTTTTTTATATAATAGCATATTAAAAGTTTCTTGGGTATTTACATTTAATTTAAAACTTTTATAAAAGGCATTTACTATCACAAATAATAATTCCATCTATCATAAACCTGTCAGTGTATGAGTCTAATTTTTCATTGTGAAATATGCACTATTACCAGTAGTGAAAATTTGATTACTTATCAAATCGAAGGCTGATAAAATAGGAAACGATTAATATCGATTGTGACTTTAATAACGACAAGACGACCTGCATTGACTCTACATTGAACGGCATATTAGTTCGTGTTCAGCCTACTTTGTATTAATCGACAACTATATATAGACTTTCATACCATAAAAGCATTGCGTGCCCTTCATATACTACGTATTATTCAAGTTCTATCTGCCATTGTATTATGTCGCTTGAATTATTTCATATGTCTATCAAGTCGTACGAGTCATCGTTAATAATAGGTTTATCATTTTATTGCAAATTATACGCTATAAAAGTTATATATATATATAGGAACTAATAATAATAGTAATCATTCTCTTATCGAACTGTTTAATTTCAAGCTTCTATTATCAAGAAGACAACATAATTAACTAAATATCTTTTTTTTCCATGTTTTAGTGATGTCTTTGGAGGATTCACGGCGTTCTCAACGACCGTACAGATACGGTATGGTCCTTTTATGCGTCGGAGCTCTGATCAATTGGCTAGGACTCGCTGAAAATTATGTTGAACCAGTTCGATATGTTGGAGTCGCTTGCATAGTAGCAGGGGCACTTTTGATTTGTGCAGCGATGTGTTGCTGGTTACATGCGCCGCCAACTCGGACTACTACGCACGCGCAACACGCGAATCATCCGATTACGGCCCAGGTAATTTATTATTATTATGTGCGCAAAACTTTAATACTCGTTCTACTTTTAAGATAAATAATTTATGTAATCCATTCCGTGTCTTCTGAATGTCGCGAATATCGGTTAGTATTTGAAAAGAAGAATAATGTTCTATTATAGCTTCTTTCGATAATCAGTAAAAGATATCGATCTACATAGAAATGGACGTTATATATTTCCTTTTGAGTCAGATTTTATCGATAGAAAATTTATTCTCGTGGAATGGTAGGTAAGTGATAGATAAGACTAGTAGCAACTCGTAATTAAAATGAGTCATCGATGGTGTTTCATGTTGTATCGTCTTGTTCGACATGCTCGAACGCTTTTGAAGATTCAAAAATCTTAAGATCAATTCAGGTCATTCTCTCATTATTGAGACGCAAGGAGCAACGTACATTATTCTAAGAAGTTAAGAGAAATAATTTGTATAGATTATCGTAAGAAATTAAAAGAAATAAATTTGCTACTTTGTATTTATTTCTACTTGCTGCAAGTAGAAATTCAAGAACTACTTTTAAAATCATTTTTCGATTTTTTCCGATGCTTGTCTGTTTATGTAAAAAAACTTTTCACGATAAGAAAAGAAACGTTAATTCGAATCTTAAACGATATATAATCTTTCATTGCGATGACAAGACTCAAAGTTATCAGTCGGCTGGCTTTATCTAACTCCTTTTTTTACAAGTAATTGGGAAAATCCTATCTTTGGTTCTTTATGAATTCAACTCTGTTGATTTTTGTTTAACGATAGTCTTCGTCATTTATAATATCCTATCTCGTAATCCAAGGTAAAACAGAAAAAAAATAGAAGGAAAAATTACACGACTTTTTTATCGAATATAATCTAAAAGACAAAAGTTTCACGTAAAGTGCAACTCATTTCAGGTTTTTCCCTTTCTAAACGTTCTACGATTTCTATTTTACGTTCATCGCGAACTCTTAATACAAGAGAAGGAAAAAACAGGAAGAATCTAACTATGAGATAGTCGACGTAGACAACGAAAGGAGGTCGTCTACTAGAACCGTCGTTAGGGACGGTTACTACTTTAGGGATATTCACCCGGAAGTATATATCTATAAAGCTATATTTTTATCGTTCGCCGTTCTTATAGATATGCCTGCCTACCTTTCTGTTCCCTGTGCAATAAAACTGATATAAATTTTATTTGCGGATGGTAAACAAAAAAAGAAAGATTATATAGAATACCTTTTTTTGCACATTCTAGCGATTCATATTCTAATTCACTATTTGGAGAGAAAAAAACGAAAGATTTGGAAAAGTGAAAAATTTGTAGTCATAGTTGACGCATCGCGAGATTTAAGTCGTTCACCCTGTATTTCCACTTAAAAGCGATTATGCAATTTTCTCCGAAGCTTTCATTATAGCTGCAAATAACCGGTCTATTCTGGTCGTTTGTGTCTCATGCGTCACCCTATACATATCTTGTCCGCCCTTTCGCGGCTTATATTCAGGCGGCTATAAAGTTTATAAAGAATACTTAACTCAGGTACGTAGATAGATATCTATAGACGACCTACGGACAAATATAAAGCGGCAGATACTTCCGGGTGAATATCCTTACGCTATTGAGTAACAGAAAATCGTCAAGTATCATTGGTAGTTATATGTCGTGCACTGAACCATACTAGTTGTTTTTTTTTTAATTCAATAGTCGAACGTCCGTAGTCTTGAAAATTCTATCTATAAAAAAATTTATATTATCTTTTTATATACACGTGATTGCGTTAAAATACAAAAAAAAAACGAGAGAAAGAAAAAAGTTCAATAAATTCTGTTAGATTAGAGATTCGTTTTATTGATGGTATTGATGGAATTCATTCGTTTTTACAGATTGACGATCCGATCCACGTGATCTCGATCGACGAACCATCCAGTGGTGCGAGACAAAAGCCACCGGACTACGAGGCTGTAACCGATGCGCCACCTAGTTATGATGATGCAATCAAATTGAATCCTGGTCATTTGATTAGGCTAAGCACGAGTAGTACGACAGCCTTATCAACAGAACATACGATACCAGGAACCGTTGAACTGGTTCCCGGTGAAACAGTGCGAACACCGCCACCACCATATGCGAGGTAATTTTTCTTAAATATCACTTTTGTTGTAAGTTGAAACTGAAATTAGGATTCATTTATCAAAGATCTTTTACTAAATATAAAATTGAGACATTTGTAATTGTTGCACTCGTCGATTCGTTTCTTAGTTTTTATGTACAAGTATGTTTTTTATCTTGTATCATCAACATTGTTTGTTTATTACAGGTGAAAGGTTTGGGGCAATCTATGGTGATTACGAAAAACAAGGTCTGCGGCACGCTGCAGCTTAGAAAAAGAGACTACCAGGAAGAAGTACAACAAGAGTCTTTTAAAATTCTTCATTATGTGAATGAAGAAGACACGTTGTACGTAATTGTCAATTTCTGCGAAAACTACTACGAAGGTGATTTTTTGAAAGAGATCAGCGATTCGCATGAAAATAAATTAAAATTATGATCCTGTCGAGAAGAGACAAAATGAGATAATGAAAACAAAATGCAGAGTTTGATCTTTGCGGACTGATGTACCTACAAATGTATGACTTACTTTTGATGCGTCGTCGATCATGCGATCTGTCATTATGAATGTGACAGAACCCAAATTCGAATTTTTTTTCTTTTCTTTTAAAGAGCGATTTAAATAAACAATGGAGATTATACGACTGGAGAAATTCTAACTATTTGTTCACAATACAACTGCCAATTTGTGATAATTATGAATTACGCCTGAATATCTACGAATGATTCTATGAAATTAGTATGCCGGAATTTGTTTCTAGTTATATCGTTGTATATAGTTAAGTATTAATATATATATATATATATATTATTATCATAAATGTGCAATGTACATTGCAGGAAATGAAACGTCATGGTCGTCTCTCTTAACTCGAAATTTATGCATATGTGTCTGAGACCAGTAATTATAAATTATTTCATTTCGTTCGAAGATCCATGTTGCTTTGTTCCTAAGAATGAAGAACGTTGATTAACGATGCTGCTTATATTCATTATTTTAATTGAAAAGAAATAATAGACTGCAGCGCGAATAATTTTATAAACTTTTTGATACTGATCACATTCACAACAAACTAAGTTTTATGTACTTTCAAATATTGTATATTTGTTTATGGTAGCGAATCTTAAAATTTGATTTTTCAGTTTTGCGTTAAGAAGACGATTCATAAATTTAGTAATAATGTTCCTATTCGTTTGAATGATGAAACGTTTTTTAAGATCTTTTATGCGATTTTAGATCTTTTTGATCCCATTATTGGAAGCAGATAAGTAAAAATTATTCGCACGCTTATTATTTGTGACAGTTGTAAAAACATCACGTGTGTTGAGTATCACTTTATCGTCTCTGTAAGATAAAGTCTTTTTTTATAACGGAAATATAAATAAAAAGAGTAAACTTTTATATATATGGTTGTTGGTATTTCGATTACCCTTATTTGCATCGCATCCTGATTTATATTAATTTTTACCATCAAGAACATTTTGATATTTGATAATAGAAAGTACAATCAACCTATATTCATGTAGTTTATAACGAATAAGTATCGCTTACTATTTCCAAAATAGAATCGTGAATGCATACGCAGATAATTCATCGATAAATACCCTTTATTCAATCGGAGTAACATTTATACTTACTTAAAGCATGTTATTGAACTAATATATCAGTAGAAATTCATCAACGGCAACAATAGTAATCGTAATAATGAAGAGAACGTAACGACAGTAATAATGAGATGATAATCTTAATGACAATGACAAAGAGTTAATAATAATAATAATTATTATAGGTACAATCATAAAATCGTTATATTCTGACAACGCAAAGACGAGAGGTAACAGTAGGTAACAATTTTCATAGGAGGATTTTTTTCTAATTATTTGTTTTTATGCTTTTCCATTTCTTTTTACGGTGAGCTAAAAGCAGGTCGACTATGATGATAAAATTATAATATTAACGATAACGAAAAACCAACAAATTTTTGCTCACATATCTATTTTCATTTGTTCTTATCCTCTTTTTAAATATCCTTTAGTTTAAATATATTCTTCCGATGTCTATTCGCATCTTCGATATACTATCGACAAATAGTTAAGAATTCGAACTTTGAAAATTTTTATATTTGTAACTGATGTCAAAGGAGGGATCGAAGATTTTGTCACCTACCGTTGCTCGTGACTTCTCAATATTTACAGATGCTCTTTGCGTGTTTAGCAATAAAACGAACATGAATGTATAATAACAAAGAAGAACGTGAACAAATTAACCGAACATTAACAATCTATGCCAATATATATGTATATCACCGCGATGGTACACAGTTGATTTTTATGGAGAAAATTCGAATGCGATGCATCCTAAAATTATTGCACGTATGAACAATCTAGTTGGATCAAATCACATTTTAATCTAATGCAATCGATGGCCGATCGGCGTTTTTAGAACCTTGTGTATTTTTGAATCGCTCATATATTTTATAAATTCGATAATACACCTTGTTTAAGATTGACATCCGTCTAATCACGTTGGCTACGTATGGACCATAACAGATCTCGCATTCTTCTCAACTTGTCGTTGTTCGTATCTTTCTCGCTATAGCGATTCTTGAAGAACGTCCTTATAATAACCGTATTACTCTGTAATTATGTACAGCATATGGACATGAATTTTCTCTTTTGCAATTCCTCCTCTCGTAAAGTCGTAGACATTATAAATGTATTTTTTGGTATATTCGTAGTGATATACTATCGACAGTAGCAAGAGTAGTAGTTGCAATAATGACGATTGGAGTAGCACTAGAAATGTTTTTGGTGGTAATAACGATGACTATAATATTAATAATATTAATTAGCAATAAGTTAGTCGCCAATAATAATCATTTATAAGTAGTCTTTGACTTATCTGAAGCAGCGTTAGCGGCATCTTGTATATATTGGCTCCTGTGATAATTTTAATGCTAATTAATTATGTAATAACAGTTATACAATAGTAATATTAATGAGATCTGATATACATCTAAGCTAGTCCCTTTTTTACATGCCTTAAAGAGGTAACCACAACATATTGAATAATATAAATGTTTTTTCTTTCGTGTATTTACAAAGTGCTAAAGTAATTATCATCGATGATTTTAAGAATTACGCGACACTAATTTTCGTATGTACAAAAGATATCGCTGTATGCGAAATTAGACATCTTTAGTCTTTATAATCAATTTGTTTTGACACCTGACATGTTTCATTGAATACGATCGAGATGTTTAATGAAATTGTTTATTATTTTTTCAAATATTCTCGAACGATTTTGAACGAATTTGTTTACCTGACTCGAATCATTATGTGTAAGAGAAAGAATTTTTTAACCCTTTAATTAATTTTAAGATAATTCCCAGGTTGGTCGATAATGCGAAGTTCCTCTTTACAGTGTACACGAATTTTACCTGTAGATGGGTAAAATTGATTGAGCATTATCGTTAATCACTTTATCAAAGACGTTCGAGCGACACTGTACTCGATCGTTGAACTTTAGGGATGGTCTCAGATGGGTGTCGGCAGGACCGTGAAATCTTGTAGAGCAGTTTTCACTGTTTCGTAGATCGGTCGATTGGTTTCGTCGGCACAATAGCCGTCGGCGGTGCACAGAGTTTGCAGTTTTGTCAAATAACTATCAAAATTCTCATGGCCCATTTTCTCTTGCGGTCCACCTGGGGCGTTGGGTATTCGTACGTGTTCCAGCAACGTTATCATGTTATCGCGTAACGACTGATAGTACTCCGTCAGGTTATTGTTTCGTGTAGCTATCGCCGTTGTTTCCTAAAAAGAAAAATGAGATATCTGCATAATTAATGATCGATAATATAGAAAATGATAATGTAGATGACATGTAAGAAATTCTCGATAATTTAATTAAGATAAAGTTAAAACTTTCTTGTCAACAGAAGGTAAAGTACAAAGATTATCGACCGAGGATACGAACACTAACCTTCTCGCCCTGCTTCAATTGATTCTCCATGGCGGTGATGTCGGAACGCAGGCGCAGTACTTGCGACTCAACTCGAGCGTTCTCCCTTTGGAGTTCTGTGATTTCAGCCTCCAGTGTATAGAGGTCCTCGCCCTGGGCACTCGTGGACCCACCACCGCTCGTGTTACCCTGACCCGCGCCCACCGCACCCCCGTGAGCCGGACCACCGGCGTCCACCCCTATAGTTAGCAAAGACACGGACCGGTTCATCAAACTATCCCTCAAAACGATTACTTTTTACGGTTTCCAGCAGTTTCTTTGCATTTACGAGTATTTCATAAATTAGAAGTATTTTAATGCTTCTAAATGTGATATTTTAAGTAATTGTTAAAAATTAGATTATACAAAGAATCTGACTATTGGAAACAGTAAAATTCAAAGTCTTTGATCATTGTCAATTAAGATCTCATATATATTTCTTGTGGAAGACTTTCTACGTATTCATATAAAAGCACTTCGGCGTTTGCTCAGAGGAAAGTCAATATCGAAATGCACTAAAACTTTACAAACGTGGTATTGTAGCGAATATGTGGGATATGCTGTGAGGACCAATTTGGAGCCGCCAATTAAGCGGCATGGTTATAGGTGTAATGCTTAGGTGCGCAGGTTTCTGTTACGCCGATTACTTATTTCATTGCTATAAACCTAATTTACTGTGATAAGAATCTTTGATCTTTCGAACACACTATCGTAATATACATCAAGTAACAGACGCACTAACCTGACTGAAGTGCTGCAGGAGTGAATGAGTTAGGATAACGAGGTATATTTCATAGGACAGCGTGAGGTGCCATCATACCAGATAGTAGAAGAAATAGGAGATACCGAGTGCTGGTTGTCAATATTTACAATTTTTCATTACAATACAGACCTTCCCAAGATAAATTTTATTTTTTTATTTTTATATAAAAATGCAGATATATATGCTCTTATTACTAATACCAACACTCGGACATCGTCTCGTAAAAGTAAAATTACTGGTGTGTGGATTTTGTATATAACACCGAAAACACATAGAAAACATGTGGCGAGTACGTCAGTTCCTTACCTTCAAAAGTAAACGTTCTCCTCAAAGCTCAATGACAGGAAAGGAGCTGATCGTGATCCCAGAATAAATCAGAATATATTATTTTTCATCATAATGATATACCGCTTACTTTGTTTTTATATTTTTTTCTTGCATATTATATAGGAGAGGTAATAACGCGAGACTAATACCGAAAAACAGGTGAGGACAGATGAGTGAAGATAATGTTATTTATTTCGGTTTAGGTATTTTATCGGCTGAATTATTATAAGTTGCTACTTTCTAACGTCACCATATATAAATTTTGATAGTGAATTCAGGTTTAAACACATCTGAATCATAGTGACGTGAGAAACGAGTTAACGTAATGCAACATCGTACATAAAAAATTTAAAGAAAAGTGAACGAAAAATATGTAAGGAGACAGAAAGACGAAAAAGGAAAAGGAAAGGGTTTACCATCGTTGGTATGACAGCACATCATTGCATGGAGAATAGAGCGTGGCATAGCACAGGACTGAGTATAAGGTCTGATACGCACAAGTTTACAAATAAAAATTTGCAATATCGCATATTTCGATACTTCACTCATCCAGATACGAGTCATTCCTAATTTATGATAATATGATATTAATTAATCAATAAGACAACAAACATATTTGGTCCAATAAAATAATTTAAATAAAGTAATCTCGCCTGGATGAGAATCATCGAAAGCATGAAAGAGTATGCAAAGTTATTTTGACACTTTCTAATGCCTCTTCTACGCTAATTTCATTTTCCATCACGTATCAAAACGCATATTTCATTTATAATTATGATAACTGCGTGCGAGAAGGTCGAGTCAAATTTGTCTCGAAAAAACCCTCAATTGTTCGCAGTTAAAAATTTCATAAGCTGGATATCATACTCTGCCCACGCGCGGTATATCTTGTCCTCCATTTTTTACTCTTCCATCAATAATTTGACAGGAGGTTTTTCTGGGCATAAAAAGGCAGAAGCAACGGCTAAATCCTCACCGGGGATTCCTTTGCTGTACATGCTGGACATATCCTCGAACTTCGGCTTCTTGACAGCATGTCCGGCTATAGGACAACCAGAGAGAGATCTATGCGTGGAGAAAGAGCCATTTATGTGACCGATACCATCGCAGCCGGGAGTAGGACAATTGACACCTTCAAATTTCATCGCTGTCGTCGCTGCAATTGCTGCTTTGTGTTGTTCGACTGTTCCACCAGACTCCAACACACGCATTTTGTTTCTATTTGCAATCGGACATCCGGATGCACTGCAATGCGTTAAAGTTGTTAATTGGATAAATAAATGTCTGAAAATAAAGTTCTTACGTGGTATATATTAAATGCATATGTGATTTATTGTTTCTATCCTTGCTTCTTGGCTGCAATATGCAACATCGAATATATCACCGATAGTGAATATTTTCAATGCATCGATACGAAGCATTTTCTTTAAGAAAATCTCGTCAATTTGATTTGTAACTTCAATTAATCCATATATATTAATTTGAGGTAATCGTGCTGAGGCAGAAATGGGCTACTGTTCTCTTTGCTTATCTTCGTTAGCCTTACCTGCGATGTGACAAGAATTTGCCAGTAGCATGGCCAGATCCGTCGCAACCTGGGATAGGACATCTGTAGTTCAAAATGGTAAGACCACCATTACCAGCACCGTACAACATCCATCCACACAGAGTAAGCGTGAAACGAGCGGAAACCGCCAGTTATTAGTCAGCGTCTTCGCCTTTACTCGGATAGGGAGAGTTAGTACGTGGTTGTACGTGGATGGGTTTCCCCTTTTGGTCTCGTAGCAGATCTTGGTACGTGCAATGCGGTCACGTAGATACCTGCTTTAGCTACGTGTAACGTGCGAACGCGACGAAAACGCAAATTGAGATAGCGATTACTACCGACCCAGCAAATTGCAGAACTTGGAGAAGATCAGAATTTCACGAAACCGAATCTTTAAGATTTACTAGCGAATTCATTTGAAAATGTATATGTTCATGAGAGAATAAATTTCAATCTGCCACAGGCATCGAGATCACCTCTATCATCGATTAAATTAAAGCTCACGATTTACAATATACGGAAGGTGTATAAAAATGAATAGAAAAAAGACAACAGTGCATATAACGATTATTCGAGCCAACTGACCTCAATGGTTCAGAATCCTGTCCATCCCTAGGTTTGCTTTTCGGTTTATTAGCTCGTGGACAACCAGACAAACTTCTGTGAGACGAATAGTTTCCCGTGACGTGTCCAGATCCGTCACATCCTGGCGTGGGGCATTTTAACTCTTGAGAGTGCGCTTGAATTTGAGAACGATCGGCTCGCGGACAACCAGAGAGGCTAAAAGTTTAAGATAGGCCAGGTCAAGTTAAAGCTGTTCAGCATTTACCATGATGACTACGCGCTGCTCTATTCGGTGAAATAAGTACATATCTCTCTGAAATAATATCGTAATTATTAAACGCTAAATAAACATATTGCAACGCCGTAATCTTCATGGTTTTATTCACGAACGTACACCTCAAGAACATCCAAGGTCTCCAGCAATACATCGCATGCAATTCACGCGACGTTGCCACGAGGTTTGCGAGAATACTTACATCGAATTTTCTATGCAGGATCCATCATTGGTTTTGTGTGATCTAAAAGGATAGACCTCGATGAGTTCCAAGTGCTCCATTTTGGTGGATATCCATCACCGATGGAACATATTAAATCGTACTAAACAAAGGTAATACTAAGGAAAATCGCCTCACCGAGATCACCCAATTAGATTTCTTATTTGCTATGTTATTATAAAAAGATAACTTTTCGCGCGAGTAAAACTTGGACGACTTGCCTTGCATCCGGTTCAAACGAAAAAAATTTGAGAGCGATATATTGTGCTTTTATTTATTTTCTCGATAATCACATGCGTATTCGTACAAGGATATGCAGGTCTTACATTGTCCTCGGAAGCCTGATGTATCTTTAATTGCATATTTGAAACGGGCAATCAACGAAGATCGATTTAAGTAGCATGCAAATGGCAACGCCGTGTTCCAATTGGATCACTCATGAGGTGTCGCTCGTAAGGTCGATCGCGTTTCAGGTTCATGTCAACACAAGGTCAGCCTTACTCTAAGAACACTGAAAGGGAGAGCAGGAAGCACACTCACACCTGACCCCAGTGAAACTCGTCAATTGCCAATTATTTAAATTTCTACATGAATTAGAATTGCTCTGCAAAAAGTATTTTCGATAGTCATTCAATTCTTTTTTCTCCGTCACGGTTCTGCTCTGACATGGTCATTGACAACAGTTCGCTACAAAGCTGCCCACCTGAGGCTGGCGAAAGTTGATCAATATGGCGGATTTTTGGTGATCGAGTATACCAGTCCGAAAAACTTACGCTACTGTAACAAGATTTACGCCGATGAAAGCCTCGTAAATGGACAAGTCTTCTCCCGCACAATTATGAAAGCACTTTTCATCATGATTTTGTCATCCCTTTTCGTAGGGGTCGGGTCGAAATGGGAGGAAATGAAAAAGTTCATTCAACACGAAACTTATCTACACACTTTGATATAACGTATTGTATTACAAAACCAATATATATTTACGCATGTAAAAAAGACATAAATGGAGTAAAAGAGAAAGGGTGACAGACAGAGTCATCTTATGAGAAAAACATAAGGTTATATCATACTCATGTAAAAGCTAATATCAGCAGTTATATCGAGTATACAAAATGGCTCAACTAGGAAGGAGGGTTTTCTAGAAGTATGTTCGATGACGCAAAAACACCTAAGAAGCCACTACGAATCACCGACACGCAATGGTACAAAACCCCCATATAAAGTATTCTATACATATATATATACATTGATGTATATATATGATGTTTACAACAAATTGGACAATTAGTGTAGACGCTTTGATTTTATACATATGTATAAAGATATATCGTACGTTCGCCAGGAATTTGTAATCCAAGATGAAAATGAAAATAAATGATCAAACGGATGAGAATCATCTAGCGAGAACAATTCCTGTGTTTCTTGATTACTCTTAATTGTTAATCGATAACAATTTATGAATTTTTACGAGAAAACTATTATTGGTTAGATTAGAGTAAAAGGATTCAGTGATGTGTACATATGTAGTATACTTGTGTGTAGCGTGCGTTCGTGCGTGCTGCATCGCTGTTTTCATATACAAAATATATACCAAATGCGATGTCAACATTTAAATATTTTAGTTATTTATGATTTTATGGATAAAATGTACAGGACAAAGTTTTACATTATTTTAAGATTCACATTTGACTATGAAAAGAATTTTTTCTCAAGGTTATTTTTTTACAAGATCTCAAGATCGTTAACATTTTTTTTTTTTCAAAGAAGAGCTGTAATTTTTTACATGAATTGATTCTGTATATGCCATACTGAATAAAAGAGTATTAGAGTATAATGTTGAAAAATAATTAATTTTCAATGTATTTTGGAAAAATGTTTGGAAATTCTCATACAACTGTAACAAACTATTTTTTTGATTGAAGTTAGAAAAAACAGTAAAAAAGATGAAAGATTGAAGGTGAACTACATACTCACGATCATATTTTTTTCGCAAGTGCACTTGCACATGCATTATTGCAGTTGCCAAAAAAAGTATAATCACTCATTTTTTCCTGTAATAGTTCTTTCTAACCTTAACCAAAAAAGATATGATTTGTTACAGTTACGTGAATCATCAAATATTTTTTTAAAATATCTCGCGAACTAATAATTTATGATGTTGTACCCTAATATTGTTCTATTCAGAAAAACATGAAGAATCAATTAATGCAAAAAGATCGTAAAGTTCTATTTAAAAAAATACCGATGATCTTGAGATCTCATAAAAATGTAACTTGGAAAAAACTTCTTTCCGCTGTCAGATAATCTGCCCCTTGAAATAATATAACTTTGTATATTTTCTACATAAAACTATAAATAACGAAGATATTTAGATGTTTTTATTTAAATATTGCATTTGGTATACGTATATAATCTGAACGTCGATGTCAATGTCAATGTCAATGTCAATGCTGCCTTGCCTTCTGTGGGTAGCGTAGTTCCCCGAGACATGACCCATGCCATCACAGGACGACGTGGGGCACTGTATCAGCTCCTTGCCGTCGCGGCCACGAGGGGCGGGCCGAGGTGCAAAATTCAACGTGTGCCTCCTTATATTCATACTGCACGGAACAAGATGAACAATAAAACAATCTCTCCGCGATTGCTCGTCTCACTTATGTGCCTGCCATCCGAGCTACGAAGAAATCGCGTGTTGTAACTCGCTAAACCATAACTAGCGTTGAACGCGTGTAATAGTTTATTTCCAACAATAACCGTAGATAATCTAACCGGACAACTTCGGTCAACGCAAGCTACCCGAAAAGTATTTCTCTTATGAAACGGTAGTTTACACATTACATCGTGTGCGAGCAAATCTCTAACTGAACACGCTATCATCCGAGATAAAGAAAAGGAGAGAGAGAGAGAGAAGAGAAGAGAAAAGGAGTAAGTGTAGAGAGAGAGAGAGAGAGAGAGAGAGAGAGAGAGAGAGAAGAGAAAAGGAGTAGGTATAGAGAGAGAGAGAGAGAGAGAGAGAGAGAGAGAGAGAGAGAGAGAGAGAGAGAAGAGAAAAGGAGTAGGTATAGAGAGAGAGAGAGAAGAGAAAAGGAGTAGGTGTAGAGAGAGAGAGAGAGAGAAGAGAAAAGGAGTAGGTGTAGAGAGAAAGAGAGCGAGATACAATAGCGAGAAGTTTTATTGCGTTCTGCAACTTTTCTCGGAAAGGGGACTGCCTGCTACTATTGCTGCTTCTACCGATGCTTCTCTTCGCATTTGCGATCACAAGCAACGATATATGAAACAGCCGAGAAAAATGCTCCCCTTCTTTTCACGGAGAAAGAGAAGGAATACGCGTAGGAGGAGGAGAAAAGAGGGACGAAAGGAGAACACGTGGATCGGAATCGATGAAAGCAGACGATTCATTCCTACTTCGCTCGTCTCCTCCTGGTCTCGTAGATGGGCGAACTCACCGTGGGCTATGAGATGCCCTGAAAACCTCGATGACCCTTGAGTGGCCACGATATTGCTGGGAAACCGAGCCAGCGGACGCGGACTTGAGTGCAATTCACTGGTTCGCCCCCGGCTTTGCCCTATCTGCCATCCTGTTTTCTGGTCTTCGTCTCTAACCGCTTTCCTCTACCTTTGCCGTATATCTAACTACATACGTTGTTAAATTTCTGACTCCAAGGAACCTATTTTTATAGAATCCTCTCTGGAATTTAATCCGTGCCCATTGCTTGGCGAGCTCAAACCAGATAGGTGTTTAATCTAATGAAAGTAATTTCTTTTGGATTGAAATCAGAACCATTTTCTTATTAGCAAAATGTAAGATATTCGAAAAGTATAGTCGTGAAATTTAGTATAAATATGTCATGAATATGTGAATGTAGTGAAAATTATGACTCAGTGTCGATACGTCAAATTTTGTATAAGTAAAGTGTATGAAAGGGACGAATCCAGTTGTAGCTAAGACATTGTTCCGAGCTTTAACTCTAACGGGACAGCGGCTATAGCCCTATAATCCAGTGCGGTAGCAACTACCTCGCCTTCCCTTTCAACCTTATCCTCCCTTGGCAGCTCACCACCTCTACCTATACTTTGGCTTGTCCTCTCTACTATGCTTCTCTTCTCTTCTCTTTCTCCTCCACTTCTCTGTCTCTCTCTGTCTCTCTCTCTCTCTTTCTCTCTCTTTCTCTCTCTTTCTCTCTCTGCCTTTGTCTCTCTCTCTATCTCTCTTTCTCTCTACCTCTTATATGCCTCGAATCGCGCCTTCTATGCCATACCACCAAGCTTTACGTCAATTAGAATAAGGTTGGCACTTTCGGTACGAAGAGTAATTACTTTAATTAACAAAATGGAGGTAGGTATGCGTAGCCTCTCCCCTTGCACCGTCCGTCGATGTTAGCCGTCGCCTTTCCGCCTTTTCGAGCTTCGGGCGCGAATATATCGCGAGAGAGATTCGCGCGACCCTTTCCGCAAGGCAAGTACCAAATATATAGATCTTCTCGTGCGAAATTGTCCTATGAGTGTTGCTTTTCTATTTATCTTATAAGAATATTTTATTATATATTTGTCACGTCTCTATTGTTATTATTATTGGACGTATGTCCGACTTGAAATAGAACTTAATTCATTACAAATGATGAGCAGACTATTACAACTACCGAAAAGTGAAGTACAAGTCCTTTAATGAATTTTGGAGAATCGTAGGTAAATGTGATCGTATTGTATATTTCTTACCTGTCATCTTTACCAGATGGTTTATCGAGAGGTCCGACGGTATGTTGTGGCGGCGGCATACTGTAACACGGTGCTGGGGTATAACCTGCTGGAATTTGGTATCCGGAAGTTACTGGACCTGCAGGATAAGTTCCACCACAATTGTAACCAGCGGTGGGGTAGGGAGTATAAGTGTTTCCAGGATATTCTGGCTGTACACCAGCCATACCGTAACCTGGATGTGGGCTCATAGGTCCATATCCTATGAACAAAATATCATATCAAATATGATTAATACAATGATTAAAATTCAAATATTGTATGCATTCTGCTTTATAGAAGAACAGAAAAACGTAGACAAGACTTTATTCAAATGAACTTAATTTTACTACATAGTCTGAATTTCATTAATAAAAAAAATTACTTTTTACTTCACTAGAGTACGCATCTAATGCTTAGAACGTTATATAGAACACGACGGACTAAAGAAAGATAAAAAACGAAAAGGATAAAGGTGTGTCGCGCGAGCAACGAGTTGCTTGATTAACCGTTGTATAATCTACACGTTTATTTACTGGCAAGAATTCATTTCGTTGTGAGAGAAAAAACGTGAAGTGCAAATAGCCGACGGATGGAAGGACGGTGTGCGCGACGTTGCAGGAACACGTTGATGGCGAACGAACATGGTAGTGTGCGCTCGAATGTTTCAATTTCAATAACTACTCCCCAGCGTCTGAGTCCGGACAATATTGGCCGCACCGGACTTTTGCCAGCTTCGTGTACGCGAAATATTGATAATTAACAATGGCCGTGTACCGTCACGGTGGGTGGTTCGATATGGAAGGGTGTACTGTGAACGTCCAGAATGAAAGAGAGTGAGCGAGTGTCTATGTACGTGTGTACGGGAAAGAGGAAGAGAGAAAGAGAGAGAGAGAGTGAGAGAAAGAGAGAGAAAGAAAAAGCGTGAGAGAAAATGGGAGAAAGAGAGAGAAAGAAAGAGCGTGAGAGAAAATGGGAGAAAGAGATGGGGAATATGAGAGATAAAGAGCAAAAGAGACAGAGGGGACGCGTAGGTGGTTTGGAATGCCAAGGCACGAAGAGACCGAGGAAAATGAGAGTTGGGCCATAGGTGCCTATTATGGCAGTCGTGTACTGTTCTGGCGAATTTTTATTCGACGGTTGTAACCACGTATCTCTCTCTCACCCTCCTACGTTTCTCATGCTTCTCGAAACCCCGAGGGCGTCGCACTCTTTGTTCTCTTCCGCGCGTTTCATCCACGAACTTTCTCTTTGCCACCCTTACTATTATCGGTAGATATAACATACATCGACGTAACGACAAGCTAACATTTCATGTTATGGTACCTTGTTATAATCGACTATCTTTCATCACTGTGAACTTTTTACATACGAAAGTGATAACTTGACTTCTTTAAACATCAACCCGAAGAAGGATATCAGTAGGTAGTATACAATTAAGAGTTATAATTTATTTTATAATTTATTAGTGTTCGAGCTATGATAGAGATAATGCAATAAACGACAATAACTCACCAGTAGGATCTCGGTAAGCGTCCATATAGTGGGAACCTCCACTGTCGGGAGTGCTTTCACGACTATATGCAGCAACGTGCACACCGGGTGGTGGGAATCCTGGGACAGGCCTGATTCCTGGACCCCCACTGAAGTTGACTGGTTCGTTCGCCGTAGAGAAATCTACGGGTTCGGTTTGTTCCTCGATTGGTCGTGGTGCCGGAAAGCCTGGACCTACTGGCACCGCTACGGCTTCTCCATGACCCGTGGAGTATTGAGGACTTGGTGCACCACTAGAAAAATAAAATACATCGAATCATTTACATTTTTATAAAAATAAATAATATTTCAATTTCTTTGATTAAATAATTACCTATGGAGTCTATTTACGCTAAGGTCCAATGTTTGGCCTTGAGGACTAGGGACTTGAGGACTGGCAGTCAAGTGAGGACTCGCAGCAGCTTGCGGGCTGCCTCCGACAGTTTGACCTCCTCCATATTGCGGACTGAGACTGCTCGATCCATAAGGAGGAGCCTGGAAATAATTTTAACAAGTCGTATAAATATTCTTTCACAAATGCATTTTACATTTCAAATATTGCAAAATTTTGATTAACCTGTGGACTGGTCGAAGTAACACTTGACGTGGATAGATCCATCACTGAACCACCTGGAGATGTTGGCGGACCACCCGGCTTTTGCATTTGTTGAACTTGTGCTACTGTCACGCATTTTACTAACATACAAATAATTAAAATGATCGTGAATAATTTTTGATATTGTAAGAAGAAAATTTGGTATAGTAAGAAAAAATAAATGTTTTTATAAATAAATAATACCTACCATCCTCTGTTTTCATCATGCCTGCTGCCGTAGCTGCAGCCATAACCATTTGATGTTGTTGTGCGGCGGCTGCAGCTTCCTGATGATAAACGCGTTCCTGTTCCTCGGGCGTCATGCCGGTCTGCCCCAAATAATACATATTCGATCTTGAATGCAGCTGCTGTTGTTGTTGCTGTTGTTGTTGTTGTTGCTGCTGTTGCTGTTGTTGTTGTTGCTGCTGCTGTTGAGCTTGAATTGGGGCACAAGTTTGTGCATCGTATCTTTCGTATGCTGACGTAGTACCTGGATCGTACGGTCGATGATTAGCAGCGTTGGCTATTGCATTTTCGTAACCTCTTGCAGCGGCGATCTCATTCGAATAAGTAACTACAGGTCGTGCGATATTGGTTGCTCCTGGATGTATATATGCTCTCGCATGTTCGGCAGATCTGTGATGATAAAGTTCTTCACTAGTAGTGGCAGCTGCTGCTGCGGCTGCAGCAGCAGCCATCATTGCTGAAGATTCGTATGGTGATCTTTGTGACATTTGATGGCTCATTCTTGTATCTTCGACCATTGGCATGGGATAAGCGACGGTCGGTTGCATTGGTAAAACATGATGTGTTGGATGTTGATTAGGATGATGTATACTTCCTCCTATAGTACCCCTTGAGCCCATTGCATCCATTGATGACAATGAAGAGGAATTTGAGTCTTGATTCATATAAGAGTCATATGTAGGTCGAACTGTTGGTGGTGGAGGAGGTGGTGGCGAATTCACACGGCATGATACAGTATCTTCCGTTTTAGGTACCAACAGGTCCGATGTATTTTGACCTCTACTTGGTAAAGGATTGCAGCAACTACCACTGGCAGTCATGTTCTCGGTCTTAGGAACTATCTTGCTTGGGCGAGAAGGTGGACTTTCCTCTGACGTTTTCGGAGGCTTCACATTTATCCCTGTGCTTTTCGTCGAAGCATAATAGTCGTAAGTCAAGGAACTTATCACTGGCTTTGTATCTTGACCCGCAGACGAGTACTGCGAATAGGACTTGCTGTCCATTGATGGTGGCAGTAGATTTGTGCTGATATATTCTGGAGGTATTCCTGACACTATTGTAAAAAAATAAATCATTTGATATATCGTGTCTTAACGAAAAACTCTATAGGAAATAATACTAGGCAGAAATTCAAAAATCGAAATTCGAAGAACGAAAGAAGTTTTTCAATACTACATCGGAATTGCTCTTTCTCTCTGTCTCTCTCTCTCTCTCTCTCTCTCTCTCTCTCTCTCTTTCTCTATCTATCTATCTATCTAAATATTATATGACTTTTAAACAATATTTGTCAAATATATATTGCAAAGAATGAACTCGAGATAATTATCGAATTTTTTTTCATAAAACGCAAAATCGAAAATTGGATGCGTGTCCTGTAACAACCCACATTACTGTCTACCCCTAACATTTAATCCTTATCTCACAGTAGGGCTTGATGTCATGGCAGGATTTTCTTGACCAGCGAATGGGGCTCGAGCGAGGGATGCCAATGTTTTACCTTACCTTGTGCCTTGTGTCGTGCTTCGCGTGCGGCCTGCTTATTTGCCGCAGCTATGGGACACCCGGAGAGGCTTCTATGCGTGTTCCTATTAGAGCTGACATGACCACGGCCGTTGCAACCAGGCGTCGGGCATTTCAAAATAGTCTCATGCATCGCTAGAACTAGAGAGAACCCAGAGACACGTGGCGTCGATCAGACACACACACACACACGGAATATGGAGGAATATTTTTTATGCTTATAAGCTTTTCATATCGTGTAAAACCATGTAAACATGGATATAGTATTAAATATTTTTATGCATTGAGTATAATTATCACGATTGAGTATTACTCCTATTATCATTCTAAAGAGTACAAGGATTATAAGGTAGGATTATTATCGATTATCGTGGATATCAGAAGGGTTCCAGATTGATACATTTTAATAAAATAAACAACAGAAAACACGTAAAAATAAAATGTGTAGCATAGAGATTATAGGAATACAGGAATAATGAATAATAAGTAAGTTTACACAACGTTATCAATAACGATAAATCAATGTGTAATGACAATCAAATATACCAAGCGGGTAGAGAGAAACACAAGAGATAAAGATATAATTAATAGAGAGATAAATTATAATGCGATTTGAAGTATTTTGTGTATAGTAAAGCACTGTATATTTTTTGGAAAGATACTAGTAGCAAAGTAAGGTGTTTAATTTAGTTTCGTACTGTTTAACAATGTGTACCTGTGTTTTAATGTAATGTAAATTATCGAAAAAATATAGCGAAGGATGAATTTTCAAAAAGTGACGCGTAAAATATTGATCGCTTGAAATTTCAACGAATTTCGTTCATACGATGAAGTACATTTAAAGGTACCCCCCTGATTTGTAACAAGTAAAATATAGCATATATGCAATATCCTATTACGATTTCTAAATGGGTATTAAGAGGCTGACGAAGGAAAAGTCGCAAGGTAATAATACTCAATCGCATAATCCTCCGTTCGATAGTTAGACGCATACGGAATGCCGAGGGTCCTTCGCACTTCTCGTGTCTCGAGTTCTCCACAGGTTCGTAGGTACGTCCAAGAAAACCAAGTTCAAGTGTGGTGATAAAACTCTCTACTATATAATAATAAACTACGAACACAAAAAACGAGATAAATGAAACAGAACAGAACGCAATAAATAAAGCTCTCTACCCCGCAAACAAAAAGCACAGAAAATGTATAACAAAGACAGACAGACAAACAGACACACATAATGGAACGCAGGCTCGTTTCTTTCTCGTGTTGATCGTTTTACGATCTCATATGTCGATTTTAATGTACTCGCGACTATGTGAAGAAACGTAGTAATGAAACGAGTTTTTAATCTTTCATCATCGAATGTTTTTAATATATCGCAATTATCGCTCCCTTATTTCGTCGTTTCAAAAAGGCGCTCTCGCAAAAAGAAGATGCACTACGATAAGGAATCTTTTAAATAAAAAAATACTCACTTTCAGGTGTTAGTTTATCCTTTCGTGGACAACCAGAAAGACTGTGAACAAATAAACATTAACATTAAAGTCTCATTGTTGTTTCCATTAATTTGAAAATTCAAATCGATCATCAAGGTCATTTCTATTCGCTATTGAAATTCGATTTCACTGTAGAGAAACGCGTAGCTGTCTAATCAAACGGGGTAGAGGGTAAAGCGCGGATTAATTACCGATAATTGCTTACCTGCGGTGATGGGAATAGAGTCCGGTCACGTGACCCTGCCCCGTGCAACCTGGGGTTGGACACTTGTTGCCTTCTGTAACAAATCAAAATGAAGTACGTAAATCGATGTTTGCCTGGTTGTTTTTCCTTTTATGTAAATATTTAATCTCAAATATTATCAATGAATTAATAAAATTCGAAAGGGCACGAGTTTGATACACAATAATTGCTTTCTATATATAATTATAAAGTATCATTTATCAATTGTTGTATCTTTTGAAATAAATCAGAGGAATTCGATCTGTATGAAGTTATGGTCGTATCTATTTAATTCGTGATAATACATGTGTGCGATTTTATAATCACGCTCTGATGAGTAACAATCTATTGTCGAAACTTTTCTGTTTTCTCTCGTATTTTATCTGTTAAATGCCACGTAACAATCGATATTTTGATTTAATACAAGCTTTATTTATATTTCAAAATTAACAAGGAGAATATATCCTGCGATTACGATTCAGCAAAAAAATTATTCCGCAGAATTAACATTATATTAACTTCTGTATAATAAAGATATTGATTGGTTTACAAACAAAATGTACATTTAATATGTTGGTAATAGTCTGCAGTATATTACACCTGTACAATATTGTATTTGATTGTCGTCGATGTATTGAGTTGAATGCAAATTAACTATTAAATGGATGACAACCGAACATGTTCAACATCACGTCATTGTTTCGTAGGGAAGTAATAGTTAGTACGTGGGGTGCATATTCAATATATGTGTCGTTTGTTAATATATCCTGCAACCTTAATCCTTCTTTAAACAAATTTTTTACAAAAAAATTGAAACTTCTTTTTTATCATTTTAAAAAAATTTTTTTTTTATATTTCTAATAAACTTATTTACAAAAAGGTTAAACTAAAATATAGATATACGAATGGTCAGTCTGAAAATCCTGTAGTAGTCACGTATCCTCTCGAATAACCTCTGGGATTTCTGTCTACTACGGTTAATCCTCGGAGATTATCATGGGTATATATGGTCGCCCTAGAATCTTCAACGAGATAAAGAAGTAAATTCCCTCTCTAGACGAATAAAATTAACGATTTCTAAATAAAAAAATTAGTTCGAAATTTATAGATTGTAATAGGAAAAAAGGGTACGAATTTTATATCATTCATTTGTTACTTTCTCTTTTTAATTAGTGGTATAATTCGCTTATTAATGTGCAAATAGTAAAAATAGTAAAAATATGATAATAAGTACAAATATCTATGATGTTACTACTATTACTTTTATTTTAGGTAATATTCAATATAGTTTATAATAGTCAACTTCTAAAATATTTTTTCGAGTTTTCTTTTTAATAACTATTTCGTCCTAATACTTTGTGAAATTAATACTGATGCCAGACGAGAAGACCATACCCAAACAACCGACATCAGCATCTGTCGTGTACTAACTGCACCTTAATAGTAGGTATGGTATACACTATGACGATCACGTTCGTGTTCTCAGAGTGACCTCGCGTGACCAGACAATTACAGGTTGTCAATAAGTGCAGGTAGTCGAGAAGTATCAATCTATTGGGATGAGGCGAATGGCTCCTATTTTCTATTCTCAGACTAAGTCGATAAAATAGTGAAAGTCTACGATATAAGTCTATCATATTTAAGTTACACACATTGAACAAGTTTTATCATAAATTATTATTGACGTTAGTTATTCATTTGAGTGTCTGCTATTATAATTTTATATTTATTTTGTTAAAGTAAGCAAATGGTTTATAGAAAAAATTCAACACCTACGGTATATGTACATATATATATATATATATATATATATATATATGTGTGTGTGTGTGTGTGTGTGTGTGTCTGTGTGTACATAGGTAAGTTTGTCATATGTATCACAGGGGTCGAAGACGGATTCTGAGAGAACCTTAAGGATGAATCCAAGTTTAGGTTGGGGTGTTGAAGCTTTCCCCTGGAGTAAGCGCACTTTTATAAACTTTGTCTTGTACTAATCCCCCTCTGGCTCTGATCCCTCTAGCTAACTACGGCCGATCCTGAATCGGCTGCCATGACGGCAGAAAACTTCATCAGGCCGTCATTTCGCGTTCTAGAGAGTAAGATAGAGACGAACCTCGCTTAGATGTTCGCGTTCTCCTTAAGGCGACTGAAGTCCGACCACTTCATAAATTGGATTACGACACGTGACGTCATTAGCGGCATACTTTATTTGCAGAGTTCCAACCTTATGTCGGAATTAACGATAAAATGTACTACCGTATTCGTTAAACGTGATCGGTGTTTTTAAAATTATTGGGATAGAAACGGTTAAAGTTTTATTTGAAATTGGATTTGTAAGAAATCACTGGTATTATTTCTACAAACATTAATTGTAATTTGTCAGAAAACTAATTAATTATAATTAAATTGTATGTAAAGGTGTACCGAAATCATTTAATATTTCTGTTTAGAGCGAAAGGCTTCTGGATCTCATGCCTTTTTAATTAGGATCGGTCTAAAAAACTGTGATGAAATAAGTGAGGACATGCGGTTAGCCACTGGTAGGATTAATAAATTAGCCGTAAGGTTTTAAAACCGACTTGTCGTTGGTGGCTAAGCTCAAGAAAGGAGAAAAAACGAAGGGGAAGATAATGGTTCCGGTCAACAAAATGAATAGAGGCACGCACTGTTCTTTACGGATGTCTGAATAGACTTGTAACAAGTCAGTCGTACCACGATTCTTCCTCTTTTTGTTCCCTCGTATCGTCTCTTTTTTTCTGCAGGATCCTAAGTCAGGGTAGGTAGAGGGACAGAGGAAACGAGTGGAATCAAGGGGTGAGAATGAGGATGAGCAGTAGCCGCTGAGGGTGAGGCTGAGGCCGAGTGTGTAATTGTGTTATTTTGTAGCCATTTCACGTGAGGGTCACCGCGGGAGAACCAAAGGTATACATAAACACCAGGATTGTTTTATTCATTTGACTTGATGCAAACTTGACGCGTGTCATTCGTTCTCTTTCTCCCTCCGCCTCTTTCTCTCTTCCTCTTTTTCTTTCTCTTATTTTCTATTTATTTTTTTCCATTTTTCTTTTCTTTATTTTGATGTAACGGTTTTACGTTCTCATATTTCTAAATAAATATATCATACAACGATGAATACAATAACGATACTTTATTTAATGAGTTCTCATTAAAGAAGAAAAAAAAATAGATTGTAGAAAAAAGAAAAAGAATAAGAAAATAGAGTGAAGAATGATCACGAGACGAGTATTTACACACAGTGACGTTTGCTCTTAAAGGGAAAGGGAGCCCTCACGCGCGAGTAAACGCCCTTTTTATGCGTACGGTCGCAAAGGCAGCGTAAAATTGAGTTACAGGGCAGTTTATTTTTTTATTAGCTAGATCGAGCTTGCCGCGGTGGTCTCAATGCGAAAAGGGTGGTTTTTGCGGCCGACGGATTTCCCGACAGTGGTTTTATGGCGTGTCAACACGCATTTGCGCGCGTGCGTGTAGATCCGTAAAAGTGTCGAAAAAAAGCAACACGCAATACGGCTGCTAAATCAAAATGATCAGAATTCAATTGCTGTGATTGTGAACAGGCTGTAATGAAGAATTATACGATTTCGATAAAATTAATTTGTAATAGTGTTGAATGCATTTAAAACTTTGCATTCGAATCTGAGAGCTAATTTTACATTAAAAATTGTTATACATTATAACGATATAAATATTTACCAATTTGATTGCTCTTATTTATGCTAAATGATGATTTTTACAGAAAACGATTTCGAAATAGGAAAAGATTGAATTTCTTAAAACGTTTCATTTTCACAATTTCGGATGGAGAAAATGTTAAGGGGATAATAACAGACGACAGCGGGGCGTAGCGTGGTAATAAGGCGGCTTGGAGCGGCTGCGATGCTAGTCACGTTTCCAGCCGCTGACAGCTGCGGCTTATACGTATGACGTGGTATCAACCCCAAATTTCCCCTGACTAGACATACCGTGTCAGGGCTGCCCTAAGACCCTGGAATGCACTCGAGTCTCTACCTGTCACGTTCCACTACGCTTCTTGTCACCTATACGATAAATTTTATCTGTTTCTTTCTGTCTTCGTGCCTTATCCTCATTTTTTCATTAGTACTGATCATTCGGAATATTACCTACGTACATTTATGATTTTTTATCAATTAAAATGAATTTTTAGATAAATTACCAGATCACTAATGGATAAAATCTGCGGTTTCTAAAATATTTCTTCTTGTTAAAGACTGTCATTTTATAATCATTATATATTGTACTAGATACTTGGTTTGTTGATACGATAGTAAATTACTTTCTACTACTACTTGATAATTGGAGTAAAAGTTGGCCATTGCTAACAATCAATGCAGTTCAACATCTTCACTGCAGAATATCGATAAGCTCATGAAAAGGACACATAGAATATCTTCAACAGGAGAGACCTTGATTTAACGATTTGAGTCATCACCCCTCGCTTCGTAATTATTGATTTTCCGAGCTGCCCTAACTCCCCTAACTTCATAGAGAGAAAAGAGGGAGGGGGTGGGGAACTGAGAGACAGAGTGAGAAAGAATAACGAAGTAACGGAATAAACTGAAGTGTTCAAAATGCCGTTTGTCTCCTTCTTACAATGTATAACGTATGAGTAAAAACTCTTTAGTATGCTATTTTCATTAATAGTTTAATTTATATTTTGTAATTAAATACGACAGATAGTTTTAAGATTAATAACAACAAGACACGCTATCGATTATCATTTTGTTATTTTTAAACGTCATTTATAGGATGAGGAAGATGTTAATTTCCTAACTAATTCTCATTTCTCACCTCTACTGAGACTGGACGGAGACATGGACATTCCTGGTCTGCTAGCGTCGAATGTATTAGGTCTTTCTGGCATTTTCATCATATTTTCTTGTTGTCCCGTTCCACTTCCAGATGAACCATCAACAGTAGTTGTGGAACTAGAGGTGGTACTGGTAGAAACAGCAGTGATCGAAATGCTGGTTACATTACTGTTCGAATTTCCATTAGTTCCACTATTGTTACTATTATTATTCACATTGTTGTTACTCGTATTCTTGTTGGTAACATTACGATTACAATTAGTTCCGTTGCTATTATTATTACTACTGTTATTCGTACTGCTGCTTCCGGTGTTACAATTGCTAACTGCAGCGACACTGACTACTCCTTCTCTAGTAATATCTTGAATAGCACTGGCAGCTCTAGAACCTACTCCTGCGGGTTGAAGAATTGTATATTGTTTCGACGAATCTGGACTTGTCACTGAGGGAAGGCCTGTTGGACTTTTACTGCTCGGTACCGTGTTTGATGTAGGATCGTGTACCGACACATGATGCGATTCCTCCTTCGATGACTTTAATTGCAACAAAGAAACGGTCGGTGAGTGTTTGTCCTCCGTTGGTGATAAACCAGGGACAGGTTGAGGAGTGGGCATTGTTGGACCAGGGCCTGGTGCTGGATAGCCTACGAATGTAGCTGAAGCTGGATATGGACCAATAGGTGGTATAGGAGTTGCACCAACTGGTACCGTTGGTGTATTTCGACAGGTATTTTTTGAATGATCATTGTTAGGAGGCCTGAATGCAGAAGTTGCCGAGAATGGAGAATTCGTTGGTACTGGAGAACTAGAGGACGTTGCTGTAGGGGAGATCTTCATGTTATTTTCATGGTATTGCCTTTGATATCCTGCGTAGTGTTGATGATGATGCGATTGTTGTTGTCTTCCAATAATGGAAGGGGATTGTGCATTTTTACACATCCTATCTCTGTCACGATCGTTTGTTCTATCTCCCGTGGTATCATCTTTATCAGGGGTAGGATCTGACATGTCGATTTCTAGTTCATTCGACGAATCGTCAACTAATTCGTTAAAATCTGGTGGTTCGTATCTGGAATATTTATTGTCTACTTGACGACCTTGAGGATCGACGTGAGTACCCACAAGATTTCTTTCGCTCCTGTCTTTGCCGGCTAAAGATCGTACAGGCACCGGTCGGATCTTACCGGATTCATTTTGACACGTATTGTTTACTTGACATTGAATATTTGCGCATTCGTTTTCAATTTTGATCAAGTTGTCAAATTCTTTTTTGCCTTTTGTAGGATGTTGTTGCTTCATAAGTTCTTGTTTCATCGGTTGTTGTGATCTACCATTTCGATCATGTTGACCACGAAACGTTATTACGTCTTTTAACGAACATCCAGCGTCAGTGCTGGTCGTTGACGAGGTAGACAATGATGAAGGCGATAATTTTGGATTTTCTTTCTTCTCTTCGAAAAGATTTTCGAAATTAGACTCGTACCTGTCTTCCTCCGAATTTCCTCTCTGATATAAGGATCCTCTCGGGCCAGGCCAACTTCCAGACAAACTCTTTAAAGCTGCTTCCGTTTCTCTTATAAGAGTTTCATCGTCTTCGGGTTCCTCACAATGCTTACTAGATTTTCTAGCTGGACTTCCCGAATTTCCGGAAGCGAAAGCTCGTTTCTTTTGGGGTAAAGATATATTTTTATTTGGATCAACGGCATCGACCGACTTGCGTATTTCATCATCACGAACACTTTTTCTTCTTCTTTTAGCAGCCGCGTCAGTTACCTCCATTTCTTTCGGAACGCTAGTTTGAGAACCCTTTTTGTTTGTCAGTAATGGCTGTTGCTGCAATTGTTGTTGCTGCTGCTGTTGCTGTTGCGGTTGTTTAAGATTCGAACTAATCGACTCTGCTTCCAGCTTCCGCTTTTTGAGATGTGCCATCGCATTCTGCCCGCCTGGGACGCTGGTCAGTTCCACCCTGGAACACAAAAATTCCAGAGGATCAGCAAGTCTATTTTCCCATCGGATGCATTGATGTATTCAATTCGATCTACGAGTGCATCTTTCTTGTTCATCGTCGGCGCAATCTAATAAACACGGCTGTCGTTGATTCAGGATCAGTGCTATGGATATGAACGATTCGTAATCTTCGAATCGTGTCTTCTCAACGTGTTATCTACGTAATAGTGCTTTCGAGATCTGAACGATCATGTTTTGAAAAAGTTCACCTGTGATCCGTCGAGGGCACTGTTCCAAGAGCTGTGGCCCATTCCTGTACAGCTGACGTATATTTCTGCTTTCAATTGATTAATCGATAGAGATAGGCCCCTCTAAATAAGGGCACCTTTTTGATTTTTTTTATTTTTCTTTTTTTATGTCTATTTCGCTTTTTATCGAAAAATCGAGTTACGGGATGTCGAAAATTAGACGCACGCGCCGAGGCTCGCGCTGAACACGCGCGCTCGCTGAATCGCGGTTGCGTATGGACGGAGATTGCGCTGCGTAAAAGCACGGAGAACCCTTACAGTTGGGGTGCTCACGAGCTACTGTTCTATGTTTAAGTTAGTACGGGGTGGCGATCCTCTATAGTAAAGGGAAGGGATAAGGGCTTGCGCGTATAGCTTGCAGCTTCTGCTTCGTCGCGAAAAGTGGGGGCGGGTTCTGCGCACTGTCCACCCCCTTTAAGCTTCTCTCGAGCGCAATTCCCGGCCCCTCTATACACCCTCTTCGTCGTCTCGCCACCCCCTGGGACACAGGAGAAGGGGATACAGCTCCTAGATGCACACCACAATTTTCTCCTATAAAGATAGATACATTGCGCACCTTTCTCCTTCTCTTTCTTCCATTATATTGCACTTCGATTTTTACCTTTATTCTACTATACTTGTTTTTCTATACATAGCTATATTTACTTATCCTACTTACTTTCCATCGGAAGTTGTAAATGTTGAAGAACTCTGTTATAAAAATGATACATTTATATTTAATACCAATATATACCTATACTAAATGATTATATAATTAGCAAATTGATCTTTGAAGTCACTTTTCTAATATACTGAGATTGGATAAGAAAAGTAAGTGCAATAGGTAATATAAGATTTTGAAAATTTAACAATTCTTATTTATTATTTTTGAAGTTAGATATTGTATGAAATAAGTAAATATAATTCATCATATATAGATGAATCAAGGTTTCATTCAGCTCAGCAAATCTTATATTGACTTGCTATATAAGTGAATATAGATATGCGTCTATGTAAGGTTTACAGCGATAATACGAACTGACGACTGAAATTAGATAAACGCTGCTTCTAGAAGACGGTTGAGGAAGAGTGGGATCAGCATCAGTGCTTAGCAGAGCTTCCGAGGATTCAGAGAAGCGAAAGAGCTTCTCTTAAACCTTAAACCTTCCTCAAACCACGGAGCCCGGAGTTTAGAGCGACGAACTCCTACGAAGGATCGTGGTGAATTGTACCCATACCCGAAATCGCAAGTTAAATCGCACCAACGGCTTAAGACATTATCACTTTTCTTTTTTGCGGACCGATGCTCACCCGTCTGAGAGTTTTCCTTAGAATGATAGAGAGTCGAAGAAAGAACGAACGAGAAAGAGTACTAGAGAGGAAGAGAATCCCTTCGAGCAGGGGATCGATGCGTCCTCGTCCACCCTCCAATTACGTGCCATCCCTTACGGCCTGCGGGGAATAATTAGAAAGCAACCCTGGCACGGCTCGAGTAGATAGCCATGGATGTGTAAGACGAAGGATATTTTCGTGATGATCTTCGAAGAAAGTGCTTTCTACGTCATTATGATTTCCAATCGAATATATTTTTCGAGAAAATAAAAAAAATATCTCATTTGTATACTACAAAAGATTAAAATTGTAAAATTATTCTCTTAATTGGATTGTTACATTAAAACCTATGGAATTTTAACGAAAATGAAAGTCTTGTCGTCTCAAAATCCGTACTTGTCAATTAATTAGCGAGTGCTACCCATGGAAGAGGTCGGTGGGAAGAGTTGGTATCCAGGAAGATGAACACGCAGTAAAGCGGACGATGGCGCCTCCATTGGAAGGATTAGAGTATTAGACGACGTCACGTCACTGAAGTCTAAAGGAGCCTCCTTGGAACTGTGCTTTGGGAGATAGCCTAAACTTCAACATCCCCGATTTCCTCACCGCCTGCTGAACAACCTCTTGCCCTTCTCTTTCCTAATTCTAGCGTCCTTCTTCGAACCCTCGACAATTCCAATTAAATAAACCGCTACTAGATCTATAGCGGATGCGTTCTTAACAGTTTTATTACATTCAAAAGCGAATCTCTATATATATAAACGAAATTTGTCTTAAAATCATAAAAGATCATATCTCTTTTTGTTTCACAATTTGATTATAAATCAAAGAGGTTTTTATAAATCTGGACAAATTTATAGCGATCTGGAGAATCGGAATCGGTCTTGAATTTTCCAGGAGCATTAGAGCCTACTAAGCGTGTTCTTGGACGAATAGCTCGTACGTCTTTTTCTCGCCAACATTCTAGGGTGGATAAGGTCGCCGGTAGGCGAGTACTGGATAATTTAAGGGTCTCTCACGCGTGGATAATGGGGAACTTGGCTAATGCACCCCACTTGGCACCACGTGGATTCACGCGAGTTTTGTGACTCTACTTCCACTTTTCGCACCCTTACTCGCCATGTTTCAAAAAGCGTCTTGGTGTTTCCATATATGTATATATATATATATATATATGTATGTATATATATGTATATATATATATATATATACGCACGCGCGTGTGTATGTGTGTGTGTGTGTGTGTGCATATATACGCGACACGAATTATAAAAATATAACGCTATTACCTTGTATGATAAAAATGGACAACTCCCATGAACTTGTTTCTCAATACTCATTGTGTTGTTTTAATTAGAAGTCATTGTTGTCTACTTTAGCAAACGACATTGCATTGTCCAAAGAATTTTGAGATACGAAGTAGTCCAAGGCAGAATTCACAAAGGAATCTCGTTTAACGATTCTAGGACAGTTCTCGATCGGTCCATCGGTCGAGGGTGGTATTCTCATAGTCGTGATTCTTCGTTTTGCAGACTAACGACACCGAAATTGGCTTTATTTCCAAAGGGGGAGCTGCGATACTCTCGGTATTTTCTCCCTCTTATAGCTTCCAAGGAGGAATTGAGGGAAGAAGATTTTAAAGCGGACTTCGTGTCGTGACATTAAAGAAAGAGGAAAAGAAAAAAAGAAAGAAAGAAATGCTGTGACTGAAACAGCTGCCCGGTTGGACATCGCTTGGTTCTTCGGCTCCGGGGAATAGTACTCCCTTCTCTTCGCTAACCGTTCGTCCATGCGTCCATCTCTTGCCCTTGCTTTATATTTTCTCTTTGCTCTCTCTAAGAGAAGAGCTTTACCCTCGCTCCAGGAGTAGACGTCTTAAACCAATCGAATTCTTATCAAATATTTAACACTGCTCGGGCCATCGCTTTAAGTGGAAGTTCCATTACTGGACCTTACTTGTCGAAAAGAAACTTTCTTCCATGATGTGTCTCACATATTTTGCTATTTTTCTATTCTCGAACGATAGAAAGAGGCATCGATTTTTTCAACCAAAGAATATCTACGTTTTATCGGTCATACGAAATTATACGTCACGGTTTTTGTTTTATTCACTGTGATTGACACATTTCTATGATTCTGGTTAACAAGCGTGCTGGAAATCGACGGGTCAAGTCGTCTAAGCCAAAGGTCGTTTTTGGTCCCTTTCGCCACACGGCAATACGTCACGCGTCCTGGTTTTGGGGCGTAATTAAAGAGAGCGCAGAACAGTATGACGCCTCGGGGCTGTCTGGAGTAAGGAACGGGATGAGGCGGGCATGCTGAGGGTATGAGGTATAAGGGATGTGTTTTACCGAGGGATACTTATACCATCCCTACGCGGCACATATTTTCATATAACAAAACCATCTGCGTGCCGCGCATAACAAATTTCAACTGATTTATAGTGCGGATGGGGTAGGCGGACGCAAATTTTCGCAGTTTCGCCACCATCGCCGTCTTTGCAAGATACGCGAACGAATCTTTTCTCCTTCCAATGATTTTGATCCTATGTACTATCCTTTTTATTTCATCGTGTTCCAACAATGTAAATAACGATGTTTCTGATCGTGCTATCAGCAAAATTAAAACTGTTAACATTTCGATTAGTCCTATGCAGAAATTGAAAAAGATCTTATGTCTCTGAAGGCCTAGCAATGATATCTGGAGGAAATGCGACCCTAAAGGGTTGCATGGGGGAGGTAGCAAAAGCGGCTATGTACAGAAAGGGACAAAGTGGTGAAGGGGATGTTAAGAAGGGTCTATGTTCGAACCAACCGGCAACGGAGCGAGCTATCGGATCAATAGTGTTGTAGTGACAAATATCAAAGTGTGGATACGTATTCTTGCGTTTACCTAGATTCGAAGTATTTACTTATCTTCGGTAAAAAAAGAATCATCGAATACAATCTTACGTTACCTGATAATATTTCAAATTTTATCAGTTAAAAACTGTGTTGCTTCATTGTAAATCAGAGCGATGTGTTATAAAGGTCGAATAATTTCCTATCAAGAGACTTCATTTTACAAGGTGTTATACGTGCGTGCGTACAGCTATAAAGCAAAAAAGGTCCGTAGCAGTTTGTTACCAGAAGCAGTTGTAACGGAAGGGCACGTAACGGGTAACATGATTACAAATATATCATAAGCCCTCGCACCCTTCTTAGAGCTCTTATTCTTAAAAGAAAATAAGAGCGTGTCCTTCGACACGCAATACACGTGCGATGCCTGTTAATGTGACCTTATCTCAACAAATCACTACCAACCCGAAGAAATAAACACAAAGAAAGGACGGATTTGACGGGAAGATCGAGAAAGAAAGCTATACAAGTCCTTGTTAAATTGAATTTAAGGAGTACATTCC